CACCACGGAGCTCCACACGAGGTCTTTCCTCCCACTCTTCACCCTTCAGTAAAGGGAACTGAGAACTTCCACACCAACACTATGTGCAATATAAATATAAATATACATACATTACAAAACACTCGCTGCTATATAACATGTGCAATATCATTATTGAAGATATCCGCGTTCTTGTGACACGTAAATACTGCGCTTCCTATGTTTTGGTGCGGACTGCGTTCACACCAGCAATGAACCGCTCCAGAGTTCGCAAGCAAGCGTTCCGAGACCACCTATTTTAGCGGACCAGAGTCCGGTTGTTTAGTTCACTTAAAGGTGACCTATCATGCAAAATGCACTTTTGTACATCTTTTATACATGAATATGTGTCCCCGGTGTTCCAGGGAACTCACCAAGTGTCAGAAAACACAACCCTCTCTATTTTCCTCCATACCCAAATCTCTTAAAAAGGGGCTGCAACGGATCTGATACAGACTGATACAGATTTGAACACTTCTGTGACATCACAGAAGTGGCGCTACGGCTATTGGGTCAACTCCACCAATCAGGAGGAGACAGCCACGGACATTGCCGTTCGAAAGCGCTGGAGACGCTATAGTACATATGCCAGGCCTGTAGATGGTGCTGTTCTCACAGAATCAGCCCATGCAAAGACAGTGTTAAATTGAGCGAAATGAGGAATGGCTAAAATGCATGATCTGTTTCTGTGGAAAAATAAAAAGTATAAATATGCCTTATATAGGTATGGTCTTACACTATATTATTCAAATATAGCATGATAGATCCAATTTAAGAGGTCTCGGACTGTGTTCACACCGACCCAAATGAACCGCACCAAGCGGCTAAACGCACCAGGGTTTGATTCAACCGGACTAGGCAGGTGTGAACGCACCCTTAAGAGTTAGACCTAACACACTTAGCTATTTTATCTACCTCTGGAACAAGCTAAACTAGTTATAAATATGTTTACTGTCGGGTGAATCATTACTGGATCAGTGAGCTGCATGAGACGATACTGACGGGCTGTCAGGGGAGGGAGAGAGGGAGAGAGAGGAAAAGAGAGCGCTTCCTCTAATTTCTTCCGTGTTATTATCCAAAGTTAATGTAAACTTGAATAATGTACTTCATTTGAATGTAATATTTATGTTGGTTGTTGTTTGTGGAAGCGCCAGTGAATGAGCCCCATTAATTGAGTTTTAAACATCACTTTAAATGGAATATCCCCATAAGCCCCGCCCACTCGATCGGATCGGCGATCGGTATCGGCCCCAAAATCGGAGCATCCCAACTGAAAATAGATAGAACTGTGGTTATAATTCAGACCCAAAGGCTGACATGCAGTTCTGATATGTAATAAATCCATTTGCATGTTTCTAATTTAACGCTGTCTGGTAATTACTAGTGAGTAATTCAGAGCTGAATGAAACAAGATAAATGCATTGGGTTTATGTCATAATAAGCACCACATTATGCCACTGTTGGCCACATTAAGAAATATTATAGCGTTAACCAGCAGGCTGTTGCATTTATTTTCAGGGGGTAAAACTTTAATGGTCTCGTGTTAAATTGAGCTGAAAATGTATTCTATAATTGTGGATGAAGCCAGGAAGTGACAGTTATGTGTGAGTGCTTTTGTATTTTTTGTATGCATGCATGAACTGCCTTTCTTCATATTGTAAGTGTGTTTAAATGTTAATGCAAAATAGTACATGAATGATTCTTAGAAATATGGTATTTGTGCCATAGTTCTGCAGACAAAAATAAAGAGAACTTCAAGGAATTAGATTTGTAGGCACTAGTTCATCAACAACATACAGTTTCACATTTTAATGTTGCACTATCTTACGCACTGATTCAATGGATGTGTAGGTTTTTTGCAGCATTACATTTCCTGAAAAACCTGTGAGCCATACAAGTTAGATTTTGACAGAGTTATATTTCTAATGGTTATGCAAGTGGAGTAAGTCAGGAGCTTTTACGTCTGAGTGTTGTTATTGTAGGCTTTCATTTAGACATTTTGGAATTAGTAGGATCTTTTTATAAATGTCTAACTTTTGCGTCTACTATCACGCCAAAATCCTGCCAAAATCCTATGTCAAAAGCAAAATCTTTGTATTTCCTGACATACATTAAGGCTTGGGCTATTAATGGCCGCCATGAAACATGCTCCTATGTTCTATGATCAGATTTTGTTTTTTTTATTCAAGGGATAGCACACTTCCATGAAATATATCAAATATTCGTGTTACAATTATCTCATATCAATATACAGAATTTCGTTTTCAAAATATTATATTCCTCATACAGTAAAGCTGTATCCTTATATGATACACATGTTTTTCCTAGCTCTAAAAACATTGACTCCTGATTTTGTGTCACTTTGTCTAGTAGAGTAGTTGTTTGTCCTTTAAACTTCACTCTGCAACTTTGGATTAGTAAACAATCGGCCTCAAACTGATTAATGTCAACAAAATGTTCCTTTTAATGCTGAAAAGCAATACCCTGCCTCTCTAAAATAGCGTGTGTTTCCAGATTCTCTTGAAAGTTTATGGAGCTCCGGCTCTCTGCCACCCCAGGATTATTCCTCCTCTGTGAGCCAGTGAGGAGTATTAATACATATCCAAACAGGCTCCCTGTGGCCGTTGAAGACCAAAGGCTACTGGGCATTTACCATTTTAATACTTCAGTGTTTGCTTGCCCTCTACTCACCTCGGAAAAAATTGTTTGCCCCAAAATGAAAATGCAGTCAATTTCCACTCAGACCACTGTCAGTCAAAACTCCTTTGAGGTTGTGTATGAAAACCAAAAATGCACATAAAGTTCCCTCCTGTCTTTCCATCTCAAACCTCTTTGAAGCTGAAAGAGGTAGAACACAATGTTTTACATTCTGCATAATTTATAATTAATAATATTTGTCTACACCCTTTTGTACTCATTATTTGAGATTTGTAATACTATTAATTTCAAAATGTATTCACACATTTCCAACAATATTTACAGTATGGATATATTGTGTATCTGAACTTTTCATACAGAAAAATTACAAGCTAAAAAACAACCTTACACAAATCAAAAAGGGATAATAATGGTATATAAAATTGATGTTTTAGTAGAAGTCCCCAGCAATTAGTGTATTCAATCTTTGGCATATGATTAACAACTGCTGCCTTAAGGAGGACTTTTATGCTATATGTTGTGCCTCCTACTGTATGTGACATGTTTCCATGCTTTAATTTTCTAAAAGGTCTTTATTTTGTTCACACTGCCTGTGCTGCAGCACCTCTTTTCACCCTCGGTCTGAAACCAGAGCCCAGTCTGCTCTGATTGGTTAGCTGGCCGCTCCTTAGCCTTTAAGGTACAATGTGTTGGAGTGCTAGCCCATCGAAGCACAAGTGTTACATAGTGATGTCACTCTTTTATTGAAGTAAACAAAGTCCAATTGAGGTGTTTCAGGTAGGGGGGGGAGAGAAACTCCTTCCAGAGGGAACTTTGGGATTTTAGCATTTGCAGACCATTTACATTTACACAAAAACCTATATAACACAGTAAAGGAAAGAGAACAACTCTTTAAGAACTTTTTTAATAACAGATGCATTCAAAGACATATTTATAGTGTTATCAATGTCATTCCATACCTGAGGATCTCTGCAAACCAAACTGAAAGCTGGTTAATTTACATATTCAACACTTTCTAAAAAAAAATTTCCTAGTATTATAAGATAAGATAAGATGGACCTTTATTATATGTATATGAAGGGAAATAAGCTGAGCCTTTTGAGCATATGCAGTTATTGTGCAAGGTTAGCTTCAGTAAAGACATTGTATGTGTGTAAAACCCACTTTTGGCTTTTTAGTCCACAGTTACCCATCGCATACACTTGCAACATTACCCTGACTTACAACCAGTTTAAAAAAAACAATATTCCTAACAATACACCATTCATCTCATGTGTCCGTAAGTCAGTCAGGAACAGTCATGACAAACGCACTTCTGATAACTCCATAACTGTTATCAAGTATCTGATCCACTGACATCACACCATTTGAACTCTTCAAAATAAGACCATTTTCTCCTTAGAAAGTACTGATAACTGCAGCTTTGATTCTATTTCAGTTCCTTTTATGCACTTACATTTAAATGCAACCTGTCAAGAAACAATTTGGTCCTCTGTTGTCACATTTCATAATGTCTTCAAATGGTTAGCAGAGAAAAGACCAAGGACAATCAATGCAAGCTTTTATCTTTTGCCTTGACGTTGACATTAATTAATGTTCAGCCGTGGCATATCAATCTTTGTGCAATTAAGTCTTTGTTCGAGGGTTATACTTCCATTTGTGCTATTTATGCTGCAGATCTTTCATCGTGCCACAATTAGTCGTCCTTTGTTTCTTTGTGTGCAAAGATTAGTGCTTTGCAGAGCGTTATCGCCGTTCCAAAATCAGACATACTTGGGAAAAATGACAATTCTAGCACTTCCTGAGAACTAATAACAGTTAATCCATTTGTCAAATGATTGCTTTACATTGTAAGTCTGGTAAGACGTTTTTCAATTGTCTTCATCGGAATAATCGTTGGGTTGAGTGTTTATTGAATTCATGAAAGTCTTTTCAACTTTACAGTACAAAAGTGAGCTTTTCATCTCTACCTGTCTGTATCCTGTGACATTTACTAATTAACGCAGTGACATTTCTTTGAGTTGTTTCCTCCTCTAATTATCCTGCATCAAACAGTTGCATACAAAAGAAAATGCCAGATTGAAAATGGTTTTGCAAAAACAATCACCATTTTCAATTCCGAGTTGTGAATCAAAGAAACCCCTTGTATAAATCAGATTCAAACTTGTGAAAGCTGATTTTCTTTCCGCCAATAGACCTGGTGGAAGTTGTGATTGAAAGGGTCACTTCACGATGAAATCCCCAAAAAGTAATTTCCCAAATCAGAAAGTAATTTTCCCTTCCTTTTTCTCCAATTCTCACTTTTCCTCTCTTCCCCCCTCTAGAGCTCCTGTCAGCCTGCCACGAGCTGCGGTGCCGCTACGGCTGCGTCATGACGAGAAACGGCACCTTCTGTTTTTGCGCTGATGGCTTTGAGGTCGGCGAGGACGGGACAAGCTGCAGAGGTAGGATATAACTGCCTTCTTCCATCGAGCCCCCCCCCCTTTTATTTTCCTCCCTCTTCCTCTCAGCAATCCCTCCCTGTGCCCTCGGCCAGACTTTCTCCAGATGAATAGGCAGGAGCTGCTCGGTATATGAAAACCATCTGTTTGCAGGCACAGTGCATTTCACCCCGAAACACATGCATACACACTTTGATACAGCACACCATTTCTCTGTGTCTCTTTCTCACCCTCTCTACATTCTTCATATACGCCACGGGCATTGTTTCTGACAGCCGGCGACGAAGACAGGATTTTGCTGTCAAAGGTGCCTCTGTAGTGTCTTACTTGGACACTGCACACAACATATACCAGCGACAATATCGCATAATTACGCTGGAGGGAAGGGGTTTGACAAAGCTTCCTGAATTTGATCCTGTTTGAGAAAGACCACTTTACCTCAGCTCCAAAATAAGGCTCATTGCTTATAAAGGAAATGATGCCAGAGGTGCCAGAGTGAGGCTGCATTAAGTATACTTTATGTATTTGGGTCATGATTGAGCACACCTAATTTGTTACAAATGACTCTCTTCATTTCTTTTTTCCCATAAGATCATGATGAATGTGCCATGTATGGCGCATGCAGCCAAACCTGCACAAACACCTATGGGTCATACAGATGCAGCTGCTCAGAAGGATACATCCTGCAGCCTGACGGGATATCTTGCAAAGCCAGACAAGGTGAGCGGCACAGTTGCTTTAGAAAACAACATCATCTGCATATGTTTCATTTCTAATAATAAACAAGGTGGTTCTGTTCAACCAGGAGTGGAATGGTAACTTGTCATCACCTACTAGCTCTGGTAGGGCAAGATTAATGTGGTTTA